ATTTTACAATCTTACTGCACTGTAATTATTTTACTATTTTATTCCAATTTTTTTTTTATTTTAGTACGTTTAAATTGGTGAAAATATCCTCAGTAGCATATTTAAGAAATATTTCAATGTTCACAAATGCAGTATTTTAGATGGATTTCATTTTAATATTTCAAACGGATTTCGTATAAAAAGTGTACTGAAACTTCACAACAAATCCAGTTTCATGACTAATGGTAGTGCGAGAACGGTGAACTTCCTGCAAAATAATGAGTGTCTAGTGATTTACATTAAATCGTCTAACTTCCTCATTATTCGCATCCTTTGTGCGGAAACGTACGAAGTTTTAATGAGCGTTTCATGCTGGGTATTCGGTAGCTGCAAATATCTTGCATTTCTATGAATATATTTGAACGTATGATGCGAAGCAAGACATACCCTTAGGGTTAACATGATGAATAATTCAATACTGTTATTTAATATAAAAAATTCATTAAAAATGCAATATTACATATTCTATCGAAAATTTCTCCTGAATACTTTTTTGGGTTAAATGCAGACCTGAATGAAAATAAGAAATTTACAATTTATGTGTAACTTTGAGCCTGTAAAAGGAAAAGAAATAAGGTACAACTAACATGTTTAACCAACTTAAAAATTTTTTAAAAAAGAGAACAAACTGAAAAGCTTTAAAGTAATTAAAAACTTTCAGAGAATAAGTATTTTCTTCTTTAAAAATTAATTATTTTTGTTTAAGTGTAATTAAAATGCATAAAGGATGTAATAATTATTATTTAGATTACTCAGTTATATTCAGACTTTACGAAAACTTCTTTTTTTCGTTTCTTCACCAGAATGTAAATTACGTTAGACAATATGTAAGCTGACATTTTTGGATTGAGCAACAAAACGCGTTTCTGCCCCTCGTTGCCACGAATGGAGGTAGGAAGTAAGAGGAGAGGCTCTAACTGGTTTTCCTCATACACTGCTTTGAAGCACTGTAGATCCTCTCGTGGAGACTAAAACATTCAGTGATTTACCATTAAGATCAATGGGTTTTGACACGATCGGATGTAAACATTTTGTAGTTAGGTCGTAAATATAGGTATAATCTATACTTCTTTTTCTACAATATTTCAGAGTCCTAATTATGTAAACAGAATACATTTTTAAACAACATCTCATTCTGAATGGAATGAAATGCTATACTTGTCCTAGAACAGTTTTCTCAGAATAGTTTAATTTGAATGAAATATTTTCACAAGTTTTCGTTAATTACATTAGAAAAAAATTAAGGTAATTCAGTTTTATTCGGTTAAGGATTACAAAAATTAAAGTCAACGTTTATTGTATTTTTAATATTAAATTTACGCATTATTTCTTTTCTATTTACAGAGTTTCTTCCTAAAATACTTTCTCAAATCCGAAATGATTTTTTAGTTTCTGAGGCATCTTTTAAATCGAAATTCTGAGTCGATTTATAATTAATAATCTATTCGGTTCATTTCAAAATAGAGCACCTTTTATTTTAATAGTAAAATATGTTAAATATTGGTACTAATTTCCATGTACTTAACTTTCTATGAATACTTCTGAAAAGGAATAAAAAAAGGATTTTTAAAAAATATTATTTAAAACTTGTATGTGAGTCATTAAAAAATGTAAGGAAATGGTTCTTTAATACTTATCAGATTATTTTTACCCTTAATTTCAACAATACATATTCTAAAACTCTTTTTAACTACTTCCTTAAGTACACATCTCACAGAATTTGTTTTACAATAACTTTTAACAGATTGCTTTCCAGTACGAATATTCTTGCTTAAATAGTTTTATAAATGTATTTGTCAAAATAATTTAATTTATGTTTACAATTAAATGTTGAGATTATTATATATTTAGATAATATTTATAATCATCATAAATTTAGATATATTTAATAACCAGATTTCTACACAGTAACTTTCACAGGAGTTTCTGAATGAATAAATCTTTCATTTCCGAATACATTTATAAACAATTTAATAAATATTTATGTATTTTGTTAAAGGCAGATACATTCTTTTTGAAAGCATATGCAAACATATTTCATATTTTTCATTTTCGGTGTGTGCATATTTTTAATTCCTGTACATTTACTATATTTTTCGAGTAAGGTAATTTATAATAATTTAGCATAAACCAGAAATTTTTACATAAGAAAGATGTATAAATATAATTTGAATGAAAATTACATGCATAATTTTTAATACATACTCAAAGGTCAGTTTTTCTTCGAAATGCCCCCCACGATAGCATCTCTACCTTTAGGCAGACAGTCCTTGCATGCATTACTCTATTTAAAATAAAAACCTAACCTTACCTATGTGCCTAATGACAAATATTTTAACATGCATAATTTTATATTCACATTTAGCCATCAAGTTTCAAACTTTTGACTTAAAACACGTTTTAGGATACATTCATTATCAAATTCAAATTTTCTAGTAAATATATTTTGGCAGAGCACTCAATACTTCTTTTAGACATTTTCTACCCAGTTAATAACTCTCTGATAATATTAATAAATAATAATTACATTGTCATCAGATCATAATCGGCCTTCCTTTGGCAGGATACACAAATGTTTTCACCTCCGTCGAGCCCCCTGTTTTCAAATTCTTAATAAGCTGTCTTGATGATGTGGCACGTTCACATGGTCACATCATCTTGACCGCCCATGGTACTTCCGCCGAATTCCCAAACGTATTTGTCTTTTGTTCCACATATTTGTGTAAAATTGTATATAACTTTACACAAATCTGCGGTTACAGATCAAGGAAAAGTTAACTTATTGGCATATTTGTCTGTATATTCATTAATTTGACAAGGATTGCAGCATTTGGTGGTAAGTTTATTTTTTAGTTAACCCAAAGTATAAACCCAAAGTGATTATTTTTCAGTTATATAAAAATAAAATGACGAGTATAAAATGAGCAAGTATTAAGCCACTCCTCTAAAAATTTTTAAAAAGTACATGTTACAATAACATGTGGATGACAAAAACAAATTGTTTTAGTTAAAACATTTTGGTGTTTGGAACGTAAAATAAAAGTAGCGAATACTCTATCAAGGATATCGAAAGACATATATAATTTTAAAAGTACCGTAAGGTATTTTTTCAATTTTTACTCATAACATTTTTACTAAAATATATATTTTTATAGTCCAACAGCTTAGAATTTTATAAAACAAATTCATAATCAAAATCGCTATTATATGTTATCGAAAAATAACTAAGATGTGATTTTTGGTTAATGTTATCAAATTATACAAATTGCTATTATCCATCACACAATGAATATTTCTTTTATGCGGAAGTATCCCGTTTTCCGATTTGTATGTAACTGTCTTGTGTGGAAATAATATCAAAGAGCTGTCAAGGGAGCTTCTATATGTAAACAAAAAACACGAGATCTGGAGACGAAAGCCCAGGAGAAATGCTTCACTCGTAGTGCGTGGTTGGCCCCTCCTTTCATTCTTACTTCCATGTGGCCACATTACATATTTCCTGCCAGCTCTGATAAGTTTGTAGTTATTCAGGTTTGAGTTACTGCTATCGACTTTTGAATTGTTACGCCGGTTAGAATTTTTAAGCTACCTTAGAGTACAGCTAAATAGTATCTCTAGTAAATCTACTTGTAAGTAATGCAGTTAGAATTTTAGGACAGAATCTAAATTGAACAGAATTTTCAGTTTTTTTATACAGCTATAATTATGAAGGTGCTTCATACAGTAATGTTGTATAAAATACGCTAATTTTATACAACATTTACTAATATTTAAGACTAGGTTAAACTTCAATAATAATATGTTCTATTTGCTATATCGATAACTGATATTACACTTGACCTGCATGTACAATATCTATCAAACAAACTTCCGAGACTGGATTAAAAGGAAAGTAGAGAAATTTAAGATTAAGGTTTTAATGCTTCAGGTGTTCGTTCTACGTAGTCTCCCCGCATTTGGGTACAAAACGCAAGAGCATTCACACAACCATATGAAAATGTCAGACAAGTCCTTGTTTGGGATGTTATTCAATATGCATGTCATTATGACTTGACTGTCGGAACGTCATGAGAAGGTTGACCTTTCATGTTTTCCGGAATTAAAATACAAAAGTGTCACTCGTCGCCAAGTCGAGTGATAAGAACTGGCACACATCTTTTTCGCTGGAAACTGCACAATATATCCGCCCATGTAAGCGAGCGCATTGTCGTGTGGCAAAAGCAAGCCCTCTCCTTTCATTGTTCCGGACGAACACAGTGATTCTCTTGCACAATTGATCCATGACACCCAGGAATTAATTTTCCATTTTTATCCTAGTTATGATTATATCTCAGGAAGAAACTATCTCGGAGCGTTTCGGACAGATAGTGTATAACAATCATGAATGATATACAAGATCATTCACATAATATTAATTTTGGTTGAAGGTACAGATATAGGGATAATTTTGGTTGAAGGGGGATGAAGTGAGCATAAAAGATCATAAGCACAGTCTTTCGTTATCCTCGGAAAACAATATGATACTCCCAAATAAAATCATAATGAAGATCTATTAATAAAATATATGAGTCAATTAAAACTGAAATTTATTTAAGTTTCGTCATTCTCTGATAAAATTTGCAATTTATTGCCTGATAAAAAGTTGATGTTTTCCCTAGAGCAGATATTAATCAACAATTAAATAAATGCATTAAATTTAGGAATATAAATACGCAATTTGTACATTTGCTTTGGAAATATTGCCAAATTTCCAAAGTTAAAAGAATCATTTCAAATCCCAATTGCATTTTAATATATTGAGTTTTAGATTGTATTTTTATTTTAAATTTTAAGTATTTGTGTCTCCATTTTTGTTAAAGACACTTTTCTCCTCAAAGAGATTTCTTTTCCCTATGATCAATCTTCATTATTTTATTTTTTTCTTTTACGAATAAAATGATTGTTTTGCTTTATTTGTTTAGAAGGACGATGGAAGTGCTCCACAGGCTCGACCCAGAGTCCAAGAAGTTGGAAGTATGGATGTTGGAATGGTCATCCCCGAAAAGGGAGCTTCTCAGATAAAGGTAAACCTACAATTTATAATGAGACAAAATATGCGTTAAACTAAATATTTTAGCTATGATTTTGAAGGAGAAAGAATAATATGTTCTTATACGAATTGTTAAGGTACAATTGTTAGTCATTTCTCAATTAGTCACGCCTGGTTTTACGACAGTTTCAAAAAATCTTGAATAAATTAATCCAGCATTTGCTGCACGATGCATATTGATTTAAGGACGAGAGAATCTATTTTAAATACTCAAAGAACGCTGGTTGGTAAGCGGTCATATCTGTCTGTGGTGTGATAATTTGTACTCAATCTTTTGCCTGAATATCTATCACACGCGACTTCTTAAATTTTCTTTATTTTTGAGAGGAGAGTATATCTCTGTCCATTAAACTGCGAAGAGAAAGCTTAGAAGCTATTTTACCTATTTCCTTGCTGTCCATTAACATATTAAAAAACTGGAAATTTTCTTTCATGTTCACTATCATTATAATGCTTAAGAATACTAAGAATACAATATGGATCCAGTCACTTTATATTAATTATCTGCGTTCTTTTAGATTTGGCATCTATAAAAAGTATAATGGAGCTAGGAAAGTGAGCGCATTTTTATAATTCTAGGTTATTAGATTTTCAGAAAAATTAAATTACCGTGAATTACATAACATATTTTGCTTAAAAACATAATGTCCATAAGAACAAGAGCTTCCAACCTTAAGCAGCTTTTGTACTAAATGCTAACAATTATAAATGTAAAGAAAATTTAAGGCTAGCCTGCTGTTTATTATTATCCTGCTGATTTTGTTGTTTAGTTAGCATCAGAACTGATACGGAATTATACATTTCAGCCGGTAGAAATCACAGTAGAGACGCTTCAGAAATACTTAGACCTGGAGAAGGAGATACACATATTTGAAAAAAGACATATTTTGGACAATTATCAGCTGAAAGCTGAGCAACTTGAGCAGTTGGAGAAACAATTACAAACTCTGGAAGAAAACGGAAATCTGCAAGCTCAAAATTTGTAAGTTATATGCTTAATAATAATTATTAGCAAAGTAGCTATTCACTGTATTTTTTCTTTAAATAAATTAAAACTAGGATAAATAAAATAGCTGAATGAATGTAAACAATAACGCGCACGTTTAACACTGTAGCTAGTCGTTTTCAGAATTTAATGTATATATCGTGAGTTATTTGAGAAAGTATCAAACTACTTATATTACTCAAAGCAGTAAGTTAAAATTTTTTCCCTACGTTAGTATTATACAGCCAAACTGTTCATGAAATATTTCAAAGAGTTTCACTGAAGATTTATTCGTAATTAGCTATGATCATGGATTTTAAGTTATTCGGTCATTTTCCAAGCTTTTTAAGTCGTGAAAGATGAGAAACTTCGCAAGATGCAACAAGATTATTATGTATAATTTAATCGCCACCAAATAGTTCAAAGAAAGGGGATACAAAAGTAGGAATTATACTTTACAAAAGAAGGAATCCAAATTAAACTCTTAAACATCTAAGACATCTTTAAATCTAATAAATAAGCAAAGTTTAACCTTGGGTTCAACCAATATTAAACTGTTAAATGTACGGCATTTCATACTGATGCACTTCATCATTGTTAGACTCATGTATTCTTCAGATGCGCAACAGTTCAATCACGTTAAATACGGTACATAAAATCATACATCAGAAGCCCTCCAATTTGAAAGAGAAAAAAAGAAGAAAGGGTTAAATCCTATGTATACTATCGTGAAAAGAGTGATGACAGCTGAGATAGTTAATTAAAATTGAGAGGTTTTACTTAATAATTAACTAAAATCAATAGATGCTATAATAACTGAAATAAAACACATAAAAAAGCTGGGAGTGAGCTGAAACATATAATATGATGATCTAAAGAAATTAGCGACTCGTCATGTTGACTCTTTTACACTTCAAAAGGAATTTGAGCAAAATATCAGTCATACGATTTGTATATACAGTTTAATAGTATAAAGATTATGCGAAATATTATAATGGTTGTTTTATATTAAATAATGAGAACTGATAGAAAGGAATTAGGCCATATAAAAGAGAACCTCAGATGTGGTCATAAGCAGAATTACGAAGTATGTTTTAACTTCAGGTTACGGATCCGAATGTTATGTGGGTGGTTTCATGGTTTTCCCCATTTGTAACGTGTATACGAACCAGTTTCCCTTAGAAAGTCCTCCACGAAGGCATCTCTCCCCTTAAGCAGATAGCTCTAGTGTGATTTGCCATAATTAAATACACCATACCACACACCGAATGTTATGAAGTATAATTTTCTAATTACTTTATAAGGTATTTCTCCCGCTTTCTTAACCTGCCTTTGTGGTTTAGTGGTTCTGCACGCTGGAACGGTATTACAGAGGTCCGTGGTTCGATTCCTGGCGATGGAGATTGCTCTTTTTTCATCTTGCCTGCTTCCAAAAAATACCTAATGTCTCTACAACTTAATCAACAAAGAATTTTGGAATGTGAATGTAAAAGGCATTGTACTGAAAGTGGCGAAAATTATGAGTGAAATGAATGCGTTTAATTTTATTAATAGCAATAACAAATATCAAGAATAAATTTAAATTGTAAAATGTAAGTAGCTTAGTTTTAAGCTGTATACATATTTTTTAATTAATGTAACAAACAGTTGCGTTAAAAGCTGGGTCACTTAAGTTTCGCATTTTAATTATAAGTAACATATCACAGAAAAGATGAAAACGCAGACGATAGTACATTTTGTGCTGACAGTCCACAGTTCTAACAAATTTATAGAGCAAGGTTTCGCTGTAAAACACCGAAATACAGAGTACCCCTCTGTTAAAATGCTTTTCAGCAACGGGATTCAGACACTATGTGGTTGTGCTGAAAATTGCCTGTGAATAACATGATTCCTAAATAGCGCTCTTTGGAGGAGAAAAATTAGTTGATTATCATCAGATTTTATACTCTAAGGAAATGGAAGAAGAGACGATGAGAATAAGCGATACAATCTACAAAGGAGAAAAAGGGAGGCAAAATCTCTACCCAAACATTGGAAACTGTAGATAAGTTGAGGTACTGACGGGAAGATAAAAATGCGGATTCTGTTAACGACATACATGATCAAAAGTTTAAAAGGGTGAGTGGAAAGTCTCCTTCTTTTAAATTAAAAAAAAATATATTTTTAAACTCAATCACCAAATCCTTGAGGTAACGACCATAGTATATCGAGTCACCACAGTTTACTTCAAGCGCCACTGTAGATTTATTAGGTTTATCGTCGCAGGAAACATGAAAAATGGGAAATGCCCTAACCGGGATACGAACTTTGGACTTCCTGACTATTAGACGGACGTTTTTCCAGTCACACAGCGGAAGCATCACGAAGGAGAGATAATGCGTTGTACCATAATGCAGCATTAATTTATGTCTGCATAAATGTGATCATACGCGTTTGCCTTTTATGTGCTGTATATTTATTTCGCGCTTTTTTATTTTGTTTGCTGCTTTTTATTTAAATTACTGACTTACATGAACAAACATTATTTTTGAAGTTTAGTATTAAGTTTACAAGCATATAATTTCTTATTCTGGTAAATATTCCATTATTTCATACAGAAATCTTCCCCTTTCATGGAAATAGTGATGTATTTCTGGCATTGTCCCCACCCCGTGATTTTACCAACATTTAGAAACGTTGGTCGAAATGCTGAAAATTAAATATGCCGATGTTGAGAAAATTTATTTACCGTTTGAATTTAATATATTAATCAATAACATATGAAAATTTCTACGTATTACTTTTTTTGCAGACATCAGCTACAAGCCGTTATTGACAAGACAAATGGTACTCAGTCACTAAAACAATTTTTGTTTGAAAAAAGCCAAAAGGGTGAAATATTAAACGAAGATGAAGAGGAGTATGTTGACTTGTTAAACCGGCAGGTAAAGCAATCATTGTCAATACTAATTACTCAGCCACATAAGTTAAACGTAGTAATTTCATCTAAGAAACTTCACTAATATGACTTACAGTTTTAATGACTTCTGTATTTCCATAAATTTTCCGCTTATGTTTATGATTTCTGTTTTTAAATAAGCGTTATGTTTTGAAAGTGTTATAAAAACCTGGAATTATACTTGAAAATTACCCTAATTGCATTTTTAATCTTCTCTGAATACGTTTCTTGGAAATCATACTCATGTGCTATTCATATCCTATTTTAACCATTATCAAATTTTCTCCACTTTTTGTGGTCCACCTGCAGCCGAGTAGCTAAAAAAGCAAAATAAAGAAAGCTTCCCTCTCCGTATATACATATAATATAATAAAAGGTAAATTTAACTTATTGATGCACTAAAAAGTAATTTAAAATCTTAAAATAAATGTGTTTTTAAGTCAAGATTAAAATGGAATGTTAAAGAATATTTTCGAAATTGTGTGAACTCATCCTGTCTGAACTCTCTATTTATCTTAACGTTAAACCATTTCCTATTTAATAGCTTTTATCAGGACAATTATAATGCCATAATTGCATGCAATCTGAGATCTCAAACTACAGTCTGGTAGTATATACGCTGCCAATATTGCTATGCTAATTAGATAACACCTCTGTCTGAGGTGTCTAGACACTAGCAAAGAACAGTCAAACGGCAGTGACGATAGTAATGAAAAAACTCCCAGAAAGATCTCACTTTATGAGAGCAGAAATTAATTCGAAAAGCGTCTCATAAAGTCTGACTACTTCAATTTACATAAAATTAAATATCGGTGTCATCGACACTTGAATTATATTATAACGATAAAGGTTCTTCTAGGTTAGGAAATCCCAAGATTTTTTTTTCTTTTAAGTAATGCGATTCTCAGCTTTTTTTTACTTTTGTAGTACTTTTATTACGAATGTTCATTTTTATTTTGCGCAACCTTTTGAATTTTTTTTTCTTTTTTAAATGTTAATTTCTTTGAGATTTCATTTTCATTTTCTATAATACTTTCTTAAGACAACTCTATGACAGTTCGTTCTCTAAAATACATTATTTGAGATTTATTTTAAATAGAGTTAAGGCACATATGTATTTATGATTTTTGTAAATTTTATTAACAATGTAATTTTTTACTAACAAGATAGAGTTAATTTTTATATTTAGCTTATGTAAGAATTAAAGTGACAGGTCGAAACTATCCATTTGGATATTAAGGAATATTACATTAAGATTTTTAATTTATTATTTCAAACGGTTTCTTAATAAAATTATCTTAATCTAAAAAGATGAAGAAAAATATTGATTTATGAAACAGGAATTTTACATATTTTTGATATTTTAGTCTACTAAGATTTTCTTGAAAATCATACTCTGAAAGCTCATAATCCGAAATCCTGCAAAATATGCAACTTTTTCAGCGTCGACATTGACGCCAAAAAGAGAAATTTCCATACCTGACGTAATGTGATAAACTGCAAAAAGGGCACAGGTGCATAACGGAATTTATTCAACATGTCAAAGAGCATTCTTCAGATATAATGTATTCTTTGCGCCCATCTTCCAAATTTCCATTCACGGCCACATGACTAATGAAACCCTACTGCGCTGCTTTTAGATAACAGACAAAGTTATTTCTTCACTAGATGAGAGTGCATAAATATTCTTTTTTACTGTTAAGTATTTTTGAGGAAAAACGTATAAAGTAAACATGATAAAACTCAAATTTAGGATTAGCGATTACACCAATCAATCATGGGTGAGTGAGATCTTGACACTTTTGATTCCTTACGATTAAATGCAAACAAAGTCATGAAACTATGTATTAAATTACATACTGGATATTTTTAGAACGAGCATATAGCGTATAAGTAAATTTCATGCCTGGACTTGGGTTTCATCTTCAAAGTATTCTAATGCATTATGCATGTGAAAATATCGGCAGATTCTGAAATCAAATATTTCTGGTCTCAGACATTTCGGATAAAAATGCTTAAACTGTAATACTATAGTAAATAATTCTTATAAATAAAATGGAGGACTTAGAGTTCTGGTTTCGTTCTAACGAGCTTAAATGTTAATTTATGTTAATTCCCAAGATACTAGAAACGTTCTAAGGCAAAGAGGAGACAAAAGAGGTGCTAAATTCAAGTTCAACTGATCTGTTTTTCCCTATGAAAAAAAAAATTACGTATGAGGGAAAACACAAAACAAACTGCACATTTTTGTGATTTTTCATTTCAGTTTAAGCATTTCTAAATCTAATCTAAAAATTTCTTAAGATTCAAGTGCACTTCACATATTAATTTCATTTCGAATTACTTGATTCGAATATTTATAACCCGCTGGTAATTGCACCCGATAAGTCTTAGAGAGGTTCGCATTACTACGAGTATTTGAGGAATTCCTTCACTGACATTTATCAGCAGCGTGTTCTTGCCCTCAATACCTCGACGATCGATATTCCTGTTGAACTCAAAACGACTCTAAATGAATGCCCCTAGTCACCTCGCCTAGGAAATGAAATTTCTAGGAAGTATACATCTAAATGTTCTTAACGAAAACAAGTTAACTCAGAACTTTCGCTAATCAGATATAAAACAAATTGATAACTAAATAAATGTGTACAAGTATTTTCTAGTAAATGCAAGGCTTATATTTCTGGTCTGCTCTAAAAGGTATTAATCATTTTATAAGCTTGTGCATTAAATTACAAGTTAAAAATTGGTCACAATTTTTTCTTTCTATTATAAACTTTATTGGTAAGCTACATTACACTTTTTGAGCCAGTTCTCAGCGCAGAGCAGACGCTGAGCAAGTAATTATCCACCAAAAGTATGCAGAAAAAAGAAAATAATTCATGATGTTCCAGATACTTTACTTTATCTTTGTTTTTCTCACCATTGCCAAATCTCGCAAATGGAATTCTCAAACAAAAGGAAAAGCGGATTTAATTATTAACTGCCATCGGCTCATGAATTGGAAGTTTATTAGCTGGAGGCAGTGAGAAGGTTTAAAAGTTCTACGATATTTCACAGCGGGTGTTATTTGAGTAATAATTACAAAGCTTGAAAGAGATGCGATGTCAGCCTCTTTTAAGAATTATGCTAGAGGGAGTTTACACATTTTAGAACGTTTTTCGAGGCCTTTTAAGTAATGTTTAAAATGTAAAGATTATAATTTTTAATGTTTGATATGATAGCCTCTTTTCTGGACTATAAATCTGCATCTTAACGGAAACAGGTTCTAATGCATTGCAGTTTGCATCACAGAAAGAGTTTTCGTAAAATTTTCAGGTGTGTTGATTTCTATTCCTCTTTCACTACTATCAGAGTTCATCCTTTGGGCTTAGAAAAAGCTCTTTTCAAAAGACTAAATACTATTTTTCGAAATATAACTTATGGCTTTGCCATGTTAAATTTTAACTTTTTGAAAGTCGTTGGGATAATGAAATGGAATTTCTTCCGTAAATGTCGGATGTAAAACTTTCTCCTCATAATGCTTTGAAATGGCATTATTGGTCCATTTCTCACTCATCAATTTTTTTTTATTTCCTATTGTAAGAGAATCCTGCAACAGTCATAAACTCCTTGCTAAAACTTTCTTTGCATTGACGGAACCAGGCTTTTATATTTTTTATATTCGTTTTTAATAATTATTGGTTCAATTTTTTTGTTCATTTTTGGTAAACCCATGGTTTATCAAGGGTCACAGTGTGTTTCCATTTATCTCCTTCTAAATAGTTTTCATACAGGGTGCTATGAATTGTTCTGCGATGAGCCGCACGCCTCAGCAAAAGCCAGAGAGCATTATGTTTTTAGCTTTTTTCTGTTGTAACGCTTTGTTTATTATTTTATTCATTTTTGCTGCAGATGCATTGACTGTGTAGGCGGATTTTTCTCTTTTTTACAAACAATTTAACTTTGGAAACATTAGAAACAGTGCGTATCTTTTTTGGATATTCGTTTGGAGACTTTTTTCCATGTTCAAGTAAAGGTTGACGGTTTTCCCCCTTGCTTATAATGCTGTTTATTTTACACTTAAAAGTTTTAATACTGTATATTTCACAACGTTCTTAAATTTAGGAATAGGAATATTTCTCTTCGAAAAGTGGAAGAACATATCTTTCAATCTACAGCTTGTTTACGCGCAACATTTTAAAAGTAGAATAAGTTTAAAAGTAACAGACGATGTTTCTCGTAACGTAATAAACCATGTTTCTCGTTTTGTAATAAACATTGTTGTCAGCAATGTTTATTGCAAAACATTTACTTTTTAAAATTCTTTATCGAAATCGTTCTAAAAATGTGTAAACATCCACTGTAGTGTGGAGTTTTCTAAATTTGAGCAAAGATTTTATCAAGTGAAAAAAAAAACTAATCAGTTCCAATAATACTTTCCTGCAGCTGCATAATAGAGTACAAATATGATACAATACCTATAAATATGGCGTAATGAGCTTAAGTTTTACTAAAATATATTTAACCTAAATTTCGTGGTATGCCTAGAGGCCTATACATATGTTCATAAATACTTTCCGATATATACTGAGTGCTTGAAAATGTATAGTTAGGGGATTTATTTCTAAAACTATTCATCCTGGACATACTTTTCTAGTTACAAAGTACCCTAAAATAAGGTGTCGAGTTTTATGAAAAAAAAGAAAAAAAAAAAAAAACTAGCACTGTGGCGGAGAAAATTCTACTATATATATAAGATAAAATACATGTAAATAAAAATTTTAACTTAAATTAATAATGACCCCTTAATTTTTCATTTTTAATCCGTGCACTCCTTTCTATTTCAAAAGCAGAAACTGTTTATAATAGCTTTTTCTGGACTATGTCTTTTCAAAGGTAATCCATTTCATGCTTTCTTATGTAATCCTGCAATGCAGACAGCTCTTATCCAATCACTGATCAAGGTACCTTTTGACTCTCCCATGCTTCTGAATGCGTGCTTCC